TAAAAGAGTAAAGGACCCCGCCAACCCCAAAGCCCCCAGGTCACCCGCGGCAGGCAGCTGCGGCTTCAGGCACGGCAGACACGGAAATGGGACTTCCTTCTTTCATAGATGGCGTTTGTGAAGGGAGGGTGGGCGTGTGGACTCTGCCCTCACCCAGCAGCTGTTCTCAGGGCCAGCTCTCACAGCCTGGCAAGACCCAGCCAGGCCTGCCCTGGCTCCCCTTTGACCACCCCAGGTCTGTGCTCTCGGGGTCCTCATCCCTTTTACAGATGAGGAACTGTGCTTGGGGAGCAGACAGAGGCAGGGAGGGGATTTGAACCCAGGGCCCTGAGCTGGAAGCTGCCTCCCTGTGACCCCTCTCTGTCCTGCTCCAGGCCCTGCTCTGCCCTGTGGACCTCCCACCCACTCCCTCTTCTTACAGAACTGCCAGGCTCCAGCCCCTGCTCCTGCCGGGACACCCCAACACCCCCCTGCCCACTAAGCTGTTTTCTCTGGACAGGCCCCCTCAGGGGGGCTCCGAATGTGAGCTCTGCCTCCCCTTTGACCACCCCAGGTCTGTGCTCTTGGGGTCCTCATCCCGTTTACAGATGAGGAACTGCGCTTGGGGAGCAGACAGAGGCAGGGAGGGGATTTGAACCCAGGGCCCTGAGCTGGAAGCTGCCTCCCTGTGTACCTCCCACCCATTCCCTCCTCTTACAGAACTGCCAGGCTCCAGCCCCTGCTCCTGCCGGGACACCCCAACACCCCCCTGCCCACCGAGCTGTTTTCTCCGGACAGCCCCCCTCAGGGGGGCTCCGAATGTGAGCTCTGAGTTACACAGCACAGAGGACGGTCCCCTCCCTCATTCTGGTCCTCAGACCTCTATTAACGAGACCAGTGCTGGAACCGGCCTGGAGCAGCCATCCCCGACTCGGTCCAGCTCCCCACACTCAGGGCTGCACCTGTCGGCGTGAGCTGCCCCCTGAGAATGCCTGTCCTTTCCACCAGGAGAGCCAGGTCCTGCTGGCCTGCAGGGGGCTTCGCCCCGGGCCTCCTGGCCTCAGCTTGTGGCCCGAGGCCTGCCGAGGGCACCCACCTGCCTCAGAGGGCTTGGGTGGCCACCGGCCCTGGGGTGCGGGCAGGATCTCCAGCCGCACCTTCTCCGACACGCTGGCCAGGAGCTTGGTGGCCTCGAGCAGCGAGCAGTGCTCCGTGCTGGTGCCGTCGATGGACAGGATGTGGTCCCCGGCGTGCAGGGCTCCGCTCCTGAGGGCAGGGGCGCGGCAGCCAGGCTGGACAGAGCTCAGGTCCCAGGCCCGCCCACAGCCCCGCGGGGCGGCCCGCAGCAGCCTCACCTGTCCACCACGCTGGCCGGCTTGATGCGGTCGATGGTGATGACCGGCTTGTTCCGGTGGGAGCCCGTGGTGAGTGAGATGCCCAGGGCGGACCCCGGCGTCTTGGCTATCTCCACCAGCAGGGGCCCCGGCATGCCGGCCACCGTGTCTGGCCCCGGAGAGAAAGAAGAGCCTAAACGCAGATGCTAGGCACGTGCCTCCCGGCCGCGCCTGGTATCAGTCTACCCCTGCCTCCCGGAGGGGTGAGTGCACCGCTTTACAGGGAGGAAAACGGAGGTGCGGGGGCCCCCGGGCAGGGGTTGGGTCTGAGGAGCTCCGATCAGCCACCCCAGGGGGCCTGCATGTACAGAGAGCCTGCCGGACGCTAGCCCTGGGCTGTGCTGCGCACCACGGTCGGCCTGTCTCGGAAGCGGAGCCCCACACCCACCAGAGGCTCGGAATCTTTTTTTGTTTTTTTTTTTTAAGAATTATTTCATTCTGGGCTGGCGAGTGGCATGGTGGTTAAAGGCGCTGGACTCCCACATGGCTGACCAAGGTTCAAGTCTTGGACCTGGTGGCTTGCTTTCTCACTTCCTCTCTCTCTCTATCTCTCTCTGTCTCTCTCTGATCAAACTGGAAAATAATAATGATAATAATAATAAATAAAAGTTAAAAAAAAAAAAAAAACCATTTTATTTATCTATTATTATTATTATTGTTTTTTAATTTGACCAGATAGACAGAAAGAGAGAGAGAGGGAAAGTGAGAAAACAAGCCACCGGGTCTAGGACTCGAATCACTGTCAGCCATGTGGGAGTCCAGCGCCCTACCCACCACGCGGCCTGCCGGCCCCTATCCACTCAGGAGCTAAACCTTGGCATTGCCCTGAGCTGCTTCCAGCCTGGCCTCCCCGGCCCAGACAGCACAGACCGGCCCGCCCAGACCTTCTCCTGTTTCCCGACGCACCCCTCCGCTCTGCAGCCAGCCGGGGCCGGCCACCTTCGGCTCCTGACTGGACAACCGCAGTGTCCTCCCGGCTTCCCGCCACCCCGAATCTGTGCTCATCTCCTCTCGGCCACCCCGCACCCCTGCTCCAGCGCCATGGGCGCCTCGTGGTTATGCACACATCCCGGGCTGCTGCCTCGGGGCCTCTGCACTCACTGTTCCCCCTCCTGTGACGCTGTTCCAAGGCCCCCTCCCTCCGTCCCTCACGGCCCCAGCCTTTCCCATCTCCCCACCCGCCCTTTTCTCCGCCTTCTTTTCTTCGTGGCACTTTTTGCCACCTGACACATCATCGGTCTACTGTCCTCGCCCACATCAGCTCCACGAGAACACGGACCTCACCCGTGCTGCTCTCAGGGGGCCCCTGGCGCATCAGACAGCGCCGAGAGAGGCTCAGAGAGGCCAAGCCAGCGCCCAAGGTCACACAGCCCCTCACGCTCTCCCTGCCCGAGCGCCTCACCTGGGGTGGCCACGTCGTATTCCACCTGGAAGACAGCCTCGTGGCCGCACTGCCGCAGGGTGGCCAGGGCCGTGGCATGGCTGGCCCCGTGCAGCGGGGTCCCATCGACGCTGAGTAACCTGTCGCCCACCTTCAAGGAGCCCTCCCTGCGGGAAGGGAGGGGTCAGCCAGCCTGGCCCTGCATGAGTGCCCAGCATGCCCCGCTGGGAGGGGTCGGGACGGGCAAGCAGGGGTGGAGGTGGCGAGTGAGAGGGTCAGCCCCTCTGCAGGAAGCAGCTGGGTCAGTGCAGCGGGCGGAGGGCGCCAGGGGCATGGCCGACTGCGACATGGGCAGTCCCACCTGGTGAGCCGTCGCCCACAGACGGCCAAGCTCAACCCAGCCGTGTGGAGCTGGGCTGCCCTTCAAGGCCACCTGCTCCCCTCCTGCCCGGGGACAGAGGGGCGCACAGGGCCATGGAGAGGCCCAGCCCCCCAGGACACATGGCATTCGAGGCGGGGAGTCCGAGGGCTTCACACTGCCTGCCCCGTGACAGTGTCCCTCTCTGTCACCCCAGCCTGGTTTCCTAGCAGGATTCTGGCCCAGTGACAAGGGTGCCTGGGAACGAACCCAGTGGGGCCCCCCAGGGAGGGTTAACCTCCATCTGGGTCAAGGCCCCACCCTGGAACGCTCGGCCCAACAGGTGCCAAAGCTATTCTGGGAGGTCTATGAATAGCCGGTCATCACCCCGTTCCAAGGACAAATTTGGATTTCTGACAGGCGTTCCCAGTGAAATGGCCAGGAATGTCCCACCAGGGGGTCAGGGGTCAGGGGCTGGGAAGTGCCCCTCCCCACAGCTCCCCCAAGCTCTTCTGGGCCGGGCCCAGCCGGGGCCAGGCAAAGCAGCACGCCTGGACTTGGGAGACTGTGTCACAGGTGGCTGGGACGGTCGAGTATTAGAGAAGAAAGAGCGGGGGCCTCTCTGAATTCGGGGGGTTTGTCCCGGCTTCACGAGCAATTTCCTGAGGCATGCCGGCCTCCGTGCACCCTCCATCCGTGCACCCTCCATCCGGGGCAGCTGCAACCGGTCAGCGGAGGTCGAGGGTTTCTTCTGGTTCAGGCTCACCTGTCAGCCGGACCGCCGGGCCGCACGTAGGTCAGGACCAGGGGGCGGGACTTGTGCCCCTCTTCGTGGGCACCTCCTGGACAGAGTTCAAAAAGCCTCAGAATCATGTCCCTACCCTTTCCCTGACACCCAGAGGCCTGACAGCCCCTAAGCGGGTTCCCTCAATAAAACCTGTTTGAGAACCTTGTCCTGGCTGCTCATGGACGGTCTTATATAACACCAACTATAACTCTCCCCCCCCACACACACACACACACGACATGGGTCAAGGAGAAGGGAACGTGACCAAAGTCTTCTCTCTTTTAAATGGCTTGCTTCCCTTCCTGTGGTCTGGCCTTGTTTCCCTTTTCACCCTGGTTGCTAGGTAGCTCCAACTTTTGTTCTCCAACTCCGTAAGTCACTTTCACTGTCATTTTCATTTTTTTCTTTCTTTTAAAAAAAATTTTTTTTGGAGAGGTTTTTGCTATAGGGTGCGTGCACTCACCAGAGAGACAGAAAGCGAAAAATCACCCCCCAGGGGGGATGGCCACGCCACAATCCCTTCTCCTCCATTCTCCTCTCGGGATCCTGGGCATGCACACACACGCGCCCGGCATGAGTTCTAAGCCACCGGGTCTGGGACGCGAACCGCGGTCGACTACATGGGAGTCCAGCGACACAACCATTACGCCAACTGCTGGTCCCTCTTTTTTTTTCACTGTCATTTTCTCCCTCAGTCCCCTCAAACAACCACATCTCACTGCCTGGCAAATTTTTTCCATTTTGCACTTGACTTAATGGTCCTGGGTTCTTAAAAGTCAGAATCAAGCCCCTCCCCAACACCCCCCCACACACACACATCTTCAAAATTTCATGGGAAAACTAGGCATGGATTTCTTTTTTTTTTTTTTTTTGCACCAAAATAAACTTGTACTTAAATCAGATTTTTCCACGAACGTTTTGAAATTTCCTCCTCTGTATCTCACACACACACAGGCGCACACACAGGGTTAAGTATCATTTCTCTGAATTAGCTAGGGCCAGAAGAGCTTCGTATTTTAGATATTGACATTTTTGCATAAACATAATCACATCTCTTCGGAATAGGACCCAAGTCTAAACATGAAGTCCCTTCCTGTTTCAGGAATGTTTTATACACGCTACCTGAAGGTTATTTCATCCCGTGTTTTTGTACTATGGCATTTTAACTGCGGCCCTTCACAGAAGATCGGGTGTGAACTACGCCATGTGTGGTATCATGCTAGTGCTCAAAACATTTTGGATTTCGGAGCATTTTGGATTTTGGAACGTTTCGGATTTTGGAGCATTTCGGATTTGGGAGCATTTCGGATTTGGGATTTAAGGATTAGGGATGCTCAACCTGTGTGTATATGGACATGTATGTGTGTGTATGTATACGTATATTAGATATGCACATATATATTCATGAATATAATACTTATTAAAGCCCAAATAGAATGCCCATGGAATTAGCACCAGCCTCTTCCTTGCCCGTCCCCCTGACACTGACCTCTGAGGACAAAGCCAAAGCTACTGCCCTCCTTGTAGAGGGAGACGTCCACTGTCTTAGTGATGGTCCTTGGGTTGTTCTCAGGGGCTAGGGAGAAAGGAGGCCCTCAGTCACACCTCCGAGCTGGCAGGTGTCCCCAAAGCTCATTCCAGGACAGTTGGGAGACCGGCCACAGGGAAGCTACACCCTCCCCACTTCCTGCAGGACAAGTGGGACAGCGAGGGAACCCCTGCCCTCACACACACTCAGCCCACGAGGAAAGGGCCTGCCCAGGCCCCAGAGACAATGGTCGAGCTCGGGCTGGAGTCTGGGCCTGTGGGACTCCAGCCAGCGTCCATGCCAGTTACTCGGATTCCAAGTCTTCACGCCAGCTTTGAGAAGTCAGGGCGCGGTGACACTCTGGACCACTCTTCTCAGACCAGGGCAGTGGGGTTTGGGGAACACCGGGGCGGGGAGGCGTTCACCCAGCCAGGGTTCCCAGATCCTTCCCCCCTCAAGAAGAAGGGGGGAAACTACGCGGGAGGAGAGGTGACGAGCAGGGCCTGCCAGCGCCTGGTGACGGCGCGCTGCAGCTCCAGGTCCCACCACCCAGGCCCTGGCGGGGTGGTGGCCGTGTCCACCCGCGACCGCGGCAGTGGCGAAGGTTCCCCGTCCACGGGCACCCACCGGGCGGGGGCAGCTCATACTCCACCTCCAGCACCACACGCTCGCCCACGTTCTTGAGCAGGGCGATGATCTCGTCATGGCGGAGCCGCGTCAGGTGGATCCCGTTCACCGAGCGGATGTAGTCGCCCACGTTGAGCAGGTCGCTCCTGCAGCAGGGAGGCCGGGGCACGGGCGACACGGTGACAGGTGCCACCGCGGGCGTGCGCGCCACGCCTGCTCTCCTGCGGTCCTTCCCACCCCTGGGGACGCTGAGGCCCAGCAGGGTCTGACTGTTGTCCAGGGGCACCCACGAGAGCATCTGACCCCCACTCCTTCTGGTGTCCTCCCTCAGTGGCAGCGCTGACAGGCCGCCCTTGGGGGAGCCTGGGGCAGCCGGGTCATCGGGCCTCGGCCACGGCCTGTCGCTCCCCGGCTTCTCCTGCCGGGCTCCCACCCGGTCAACTGGACGCTCACGACACCCGCCCAGAGGGCGGCAGGGAGGGCATCTGCCGGGCCATGGGAGCCACAGAAATAGAAGATGGGAAACCCTCGGGAACAGTAGACAGCACAATGGCTATGTCACAGGACTCCCATGTAGTCAACAGTGGTTCGAGTCCCGGACCCGGTGGCTTAAACTCACGCCAGGCGCGTGTGCGTGCGTGCCCAAGATCCCGAGAGGAGAATGGAGGAGAAGGGATTGTGGCGTGGCCATCCCCCCTGGGGGGTGATTTCTCGCTTTCTGTCTCTCTGTCTCTCTCTGTCTTTCTGATGAACGCGCAAGCCCTGTAGCAAAAACCTCTCCAAAAAAGAAAGAAAGAGAAAAAAGGAAGAAGACGGGAAACCCAGGGCTGCTTCAGTAGATGGGGCAGCTGCCTCGACCTGAGCCCAGGGGCCTCCCAGAGCCCATGAGGCTAGGAGTGTGCCGGGAGGGTGCTGGGGCACACAGGAGGCCACGGATGGCCTGGCCCGCTGGTACTGTGGCATGTCTGCCCCCCAGGGAGGGGGAGGAGCAGGCCAGCCAGGACCTCCGCCCACCTGGGCCCTCCCTCTGCGGACCCCGCTGTCCGGGGCCGTAGAAACCACCGCCTCGTCACTCGCCACGGGCCCAGCACATGTCCCCCTGCCCGAGCCCGAGGCGGCCCCGGACCCACTGCTCACCTGGCCGCGAGCCCCCCGGGCCGCAGGTTGGAGACCCTGGGCTTCCCGTCCTTGTCGGTACCGCCCGAGATGGTCAGGCCCAGCGTGCTGCCTTCTTTCTTGGTCAGCTCCACCACGGTGACCCCTCGGAACTCCTCTGGCGACAGACGGGGCGGGGGTGAGCGGGCGGCCCAGGCCACGTCCGGCCGCAGCTCCAGGATGACTGAGACTCATGCTTGGCAAGAGGGACACGTTTGCCATGTCCCCCTGCATGCATCTCTTCTTAACGGAGGAGACTCAGACAGGTTAGGGGGACTGGGCTAAGGTCACAGAGCGGGTCGGTGCAGAGTCGACGCTGCCCGCCCCCCCGCACCCCGCCTTCCCAGGGCCCCCGGAGCCTCCAGGGCAGAACAAGCAGGAGGAGGAGCCCTTACCTGGGATGCTCTGCCTGCGGCACGCCAGGGCCACCTCAGGCCCTCCCGCATCCTTGCCTCCCTTGCAGTAAGGCCCATCATCTGCAGGAGAGAGACAGAAAAGGCCCCCCGGTCCCCTTCATTTCCACCCCGGCAGACCCCTGCGCATCAGCAAGCCGCCACTGCGTGGACAGGGCCGTTCCGGAGTTAACCGTCTCAGCCAGCCCACAGATGGGACTGGAGTCAGGGTAGCTATTCATCCACGTCCGGGTAAGGGAGCTGAGGCTCAGAGAGGGCTGGCTGGGGCCCAGCGTCACACAGCCAGGGGACCGTGCAAGCTGCATTAGAACCCGGGTCTGCCGACGACCTCCAGGGCTCTGCTTGCACACCTGCGGCCAAATTCAGTCCTGCCCGGACCTGGCTAATGCTTCCTCACCGGGACTGTGACCGTATATGTTTGTTTACTTGTTTTCGGTTTTGGCCATAAGGTATGGATGCTCACTAGAGAGAGAAAGTGGGAAATCACCCCCAGGGAGGATGCCCACGCCATAGTCCCTTCTCCAATCTCCTCCCGGGATTTTGGGTATGCACGCACATGTGCCCGGGGTGTTTCAAGCAGCTGGGTCCGGGACTTGAACCGCGATCATCCATGTGGGAGGCCAACACCTTAACCACTACACCACTTGCCGGCCCTATGGGGACTGTTCTTTTTTTTAGAGAGTTTTTTTTTTTGAGAGTTTTTTTTTTTTTTTTTTTTTTTTTCCCACAGAGCGCGTGCATTTGCCAGACAGACACAGACAGAGACAGAAAGCGAGAAATCACTCCCCCGGGGGGATGGCCATGCTGCAATCCCTTCTCCTCCATTCTCCTCTCAGGATCTTGGGCACGCACGCACATGCGCCCGGTGTGAGTTTAAGTCACTGGGTCCAGGACTCGAACCGCGGTCGACTACGTGAGAGCCCAGCAACATAGCCATTACACTAACTCCTGGTCTCTTAGAGAGATTTTTGCTATAGAGCATGTGCACTCGCCAGAGAGACAGAGACAGAAAGCAAGAAATCACCCCCCAGGGGGTTGACCACACCACAATCCCTTCTTTACTCTCTTTTGAGGATTTTGGACATGCACACATGTGTGCCCGGCAGGAGGTTAAAGCCACCAGGTCCGGGACTCGAACCGCAGTCAGCTATGTGGGAGTCCAGCAATGTAACCGTTACGGCGCCTGCAGGCCCCGCAGACTGCTCCCTAACGGAGGTTAGAGCCAAAGTCCCCTCAGCTCAGTTCAGAAATGAACACTCCGACTCCTTCGACTGCCCCTTCCCTCTCCCTCCCTCTCTCCCTCTCCCTCTCCCTCTCCCTCTCCCTCTCCCTCTCTCTCTCTCTCTCTCTCTCTCTCTCTCTCTCGATCTTCACGGACGGACTTGGGAGCTTCTGCTTCCTCCTCCAGACGCCCACCCTCTCTCCCAGGTCCTGCTTCTGCTCCTTCAGATAGGCCTAATCTACCAGAAAACCTACCTATTTTTTTTAAGTCAGGAAATTTTTCACACGTTTCAAACATGAGAAAAGTGGAATCAGAGGTTCTCAGAAATGGTTCCGGGGGCTGGCCCCAAGGCCCCAGGGTGAAGGGAGAGGACCCCACTGCAGGTGGAATCCCGGCCCCCAGGGCTTGAAGGGCACACTGCCTTGTGTGTGGCCCAAAGCCCGACGGGACGGAGAAATGGGGAGAAGGGAATGTCGCTGACCATCCCCACTGGGGGCTGCGCTTTCTCTCTCTCTCTCTCGCTCTCTCTCTCCATATCTCTCTGGTGAGCGCATGTGGCCTCTGGCAATTGAACAAACTGAAATGTGGTTCCCCAGGCAACCAGTACCAGCAGCACCTGAAAACTGGGAGGAATTGTACATTGGGGGTCGGTCCACGTGAGTCCTAGATAAGGCAGATACTTTGGAGATGGGATCCGGCAGCCCACGTGTGTGAGTGTATTAGCCTGACTTACGCACGTACACAAGGAGACTTCAGAAAGTCCATAGAAACAGGCCAACAGGTGGCATAGTGGTTAAGGCACTGGACTCTCACGTGGCCGACCACGGTTCAAGTCCAAGACCTGGCAGCTTGCTTTCTCATTTTCTCTCTCTTTATAGTAATAATAATAAATATAAATAAATATATGTTTTTCTTTTTTGGAGCAGTTTTTGCTATAGGGCGTGTGCACTTGCCAGAAAGACAGAGAGAGATAGAGAGACAGAAAGCGAGAAATCAACCCCCCAGGGGGGATGGTCACGCCGCAATCCCTTCTCCTCCATTCTCCTCTCGGGATCTTGGGCACGCACGCACACCCGCCCGGCGTGAGTTTAAGCCACCAGGTCCAGGACTCGAACCGCGGTCGACTACATGGGAGTCCAGCGACATAGCCATTATGCCAACTGCTGGTCCCAGTAATAAGTATTTTTTAAAGCTCATGGAAAAATGGAATTAAAGTACAAGTTGATTTGGGTCCGGAACAATTTGCAATCCATGCATACTTTTTTTGTAATATACATTTTCCACAAATTTTTTGAAGCCCCCCCCCACACACACACACTCCACCTGCTGCATTTTTCTCTTTGCTTTTTGTTTTTTAGTTTGCTATAAAATAATGTGCTCACCAGAGAGAGAGAAAGAGAGAGGGATAGTGAAAAATCACCCCCCAGGGGGCATGGCCATGCTGCAATCCCTTCTCCTCCATTCCCCTCTCAGGATTTTGGGCACGCACGCACACACACCTAGTGTGATTTTCAAGCCACCCGGTTTGGGACTCCAATCCTGGTCAACCGTGTGGGATCCTGCACCTTAACCACAACACCACCCACTGGTCTTCTCCACACCTTTTGAAACTCCTGTGCACCAGAATTTACTCCTGGTGGTGTGCGTGTCTGAGTTTGAAAAACGTCTCTCACCCACCCGCACAGCCAAGTGTAGGGCATTTCCGTCGTCCCCCAAATTCTCCCAGATGCCCCTTTATGGTCCGTCCCTCCCTGGCCCGTTTTCAGTTTCCATAATTCCACCGTCTACAGACTGTCCAATATTAGGGTGATCCGGTACGTGGGCTCGTAAGTCTCGTTTCTTTCCCGTAGCACAACTGTTTAAGATGTGTCTATACTGCCAGGAACTTCTGCTAGGTTTCTGCCACGGGGTTTGCACACTTGCCGGAGAAACAAGAGAGAGGGAAAGTGAGAAACCACCCCCGGGGGAATGGCCGTGCCACAGGCCCTTCTCCTCCATTCTCCCCCTGCAATCTTGGGCATGCACGCACACACACTCGGTGTGAGTTTCAAGCCGTTGGCCTGGGACTTGAACCGTGGTCAGCCGTGGGGAGTCCAGTGCCTTAACCACCACGCCACCTGCTGGGAAATTTCCTTAACTACAGACTTGGCTCCACCCAAGGGACACACTGGCTGGTTTAGCACCGTCAAAGATGTTTCTGTTGTCCCAGTCTGAGGTGACTTCGAATCGAGCCATAACAAACATTTGCTTATGGGTTTTCATTTGAACACCAACTTCCAAGTTTTATAAGTGTATTTATTTATTTCTTCCTTTAGTGAGAGAGAGGACAACAGACAGACATTAAGATCCAACATGGTCAGGCCAGCAGGTGATCTAGAGATGAAGGCACAGGATCCCACATGGTTGACGCCATGGTTCAAGTCCCAAACCCGGCAGCTCAAAAACATGCCAGGCACATGTGCAACCCAAAATCTTTTTTTTTAAAAAAAATAATTATTTTGTTTTATTTTATTCATTCATTCATTTATTTTAATTTGATCAGAGAGAGAGAGAGAGAGAGAAAGAGGGAAAGTGTCGGAGAAAGCAAGCTGCCAGGTCCAGGACTTGAACCATGGTCAGCCATGTGGGAGTGTCCAGCACTTTAAACACCACGTCACCTGCTGATCCCTACGGCCCAAAATCTTAAGAGGAGAATGGTGGAGAGGGATGGCTGCATGGTCATCCCCCTTCGGTATGATTTCTCACTTTCTGTTTTTCTCTGTTTCTCATGTGCCCTATGGCAAAAATCTAAATAATAATAATAATAATAATAAATAAAATTCCTCATTAAAAAACACTTAACATGATCTTTTATTTAAAAAAAGAAAAACTATTCTATTTACCTTTATTAATTTATTTTTTAATTTGACCAGAGAGGGACAGAATAAGAGAGACAAAGAAAGAAGGCCGTCTAAGCCCGGGACTCGAACCGTTGTCAGCCACGTGGGAGTCCAGCGCTCCCAACTGCCAAACCACCTGCCAACTCTTCCAACATGATCTTAATTCTGTGATCTACCCCTAGCTTCGGCCAGCCCCAAATCACTGCCATATGGGTGCCCAAGATACCCAGAACCTTCCCAGGGGATTCGGCCTTGCAGGACCTCATGGTTTATGTCTGAGCCGCCATCCAGCCCCCGGAATGTTCATTTCACTCAGGAATGGGGTTGCCGAGTCATAACGGCTCGTCGTAAGAAGCTGGCAAACTGTTCCCAAGAAGCCACGTACTCTGTACTCCCGCCAACACTGACCCGGGTCCTGATGGCCTCGCACTCTCCCCAGCACTTGGTAGTATGTTATTTTCTTCTAGAATTATTTTATTAAACTTTATTAGTTATTATCATTTCATTTGACCAAGAGAGACAGAGAGACAGAGAAGGAATGTGAGGAAGCAAGTCCCCGGGGTCCGAGACTCAAACCGCAATCAGCCATGTGGGAACCCAGCACCCTTAACCGACACCCCACTTGCCTGCCCTGACCGCCTGTCAGTTACTTTATTATTTTATTTAATTTATCATTACTATTATTATTTATTTTTTTTCCAATTTGACCAGAGAGAGAGAGAAAGAGAGGGAAAGTGAGAAAGCAAGCCGCCAGGTCCGGGAGTCCGGCGCCTTAGCCGCCACACCCCCTGCCAGCCCCTGGATTTCAATTCAGTCTTGGCAATAGAGGTGCGGAAGTTTCTCAGTGTGGTTTTCGTTTCTGGGCACGGCGACAGCACAATATTATACCGAGGACGCAAGACAAGTACGGGGTCTAACAGCCCCAAAGGGAAGCAGAAACCACAAAACGGTTGGTGTGTGTG